GGCCAATTTGTGGTACAGTTGGGATTAGACTGGGTAGGTTTGTTCCTGGCTCTGGATGACCTCAGGTGACATCCTAAACCACCCACAGCCTGTTTCCTCGCCTGTAAAACAGCGGTGGCAGTAGTTTGATCCCAGATGATGCATGGCAGGCACTGGCCCTCATGACCCAGAGCAGCCACTAGCCCTATCACACTGCCCACCTCAGAGGGCCCCAGTCTGACCAGTCCCCCAACCCCATGTGCCTCTGCACTGAGGTACACGACTGAAGGAAACACAGCCGGCCCTGTCCAGGAGTCCAAACCTCAGAACAACTGATTGACTCTGGGCATCTCAGCATCTGCACCCTCCAGGAGCTGGGGCCCAGCCCCACCCAGGGTCATCCAGAAGGATGGTGGCAGAAGCAGACATGGCCCTGGCCTCCCCACCTCCACACTGTGATTTTTGCCGGCTCAGAAGTCCCACCCCAGCCCTGCTGCCCACAACCATCAGGCCCTGGGAGCAGAACTCCTGGCCAACACCAGGGCAGAGAAGGATAGCCCAGTCCCAGTTCCAGCGGGTCAGATACCTCCTCCCAGCTAGCAGCAGCCCCACTGGTAGGTGGTCACAGGGCAAGGTCTCACATCCCATTCCCAGGAGTACCCTCCAAACACACAAGATGGAGATCGCGCAGAGGATAGGGAGGGAGCGAGGGCCTGATGAGCCCACAAGCTCCCTCTATCTTGCGTCTTGGTGGAGGGTCAGCTGCTGGGTTGGAATGCCTCCTGAAAGAAAGCTCCAAAGAGGAATTTCCAGCTCCCCAAATTTCTCAGCAACTGGCCTGACACAGGGACTGGGTCTCAACTACCTTTTAAGGGTATCTGTCCCTGGTGATCTAAGGACCTGGTTCTTCCTAAGACTTCCTAAGTCTTCCTAAATCCCTCCTCCCCTCCACATCCCCCACTCCCACCCATCCTTTCTATTGGTGCCTTCCCTTGGTCAGGGACATTTTAAGACAGGGGTCTCCAGAAGTAGAAGTGCCTGGCTGAGAGGGCTCACAGCCACTGACAAACTGCCAAGCCTCCCAGCTGGCCTGCTGTTCTCTCACTCACTCCAAGGTGTTTGCCATGATCGTCACCCCCCACCCCCCCACATCTGCTGATCTGGGCCCCTGTCACTAACACTCGGATGGGCTCAGGATGGACTCAAAAGTAGGTGGAAGAGGCGGCCGTGCCATCGGGAGCCGGCAGTCCTAGGAACCGGCTCAGCCATGTGGCCCTGGGAAAGTCATGAGGACTCCACGCACAGGTTCTGAGAGCCAAGCCGAGCCAAACACACAACGTGGCCAATGATGGGTGTTAGCAGACAGTTCCCCTGTGTGGGCCTGAGTCTGGCTGTAACCCCTCAGTATGGAAATGTGGGGTGAGGGGTAGACTGGGAAACCTGGGGTCCAGACCCAGCTCCATCACCACATGGTTGGGTGGCAGGGGGTTCAAGGCAGGAGGTTCGAGGCAAGTCTTCTCTCTCTGGACCTCAGTCTGTCCTTTAACAAAACACAGGAATCGGACTGAGCTGTCAGGAATGGAAACCCTGTGAAACACACATCACCCCTTGCACAAACGGTAGCAGTGACAGGCATGAGCAGTCAGTCCATCACAGCACTGCCGCCTGCCGCACTCAGCCGGGATGTGGCTCAGAATCCCCAAACAGCCAGGCTATTGAAGGACAGCTGCAGGCAGAGACCCAATCATAATTCTTCCACACCTGAATTTCATAGCTTTGTGATTCGGGGACCCAGCTGGATGACCTCGAGCCTCAGTTTCCTCTTCTGCAAAGTGACCACACCTAGCAAGGCTGTGAGGATCCAAGGAGATAATGTATTCAGAATGGGCTGTCAACAGCTCAGCTCCAGCAGGGCAGTATCTGGAGACTGGGAAGGAGCTCTTCCCTGGCCCACACGCCTGCCCCTTGCAGACCCCCAGGCAACGTGAGACAGCGTGGTGCAGTAGAAAAAGCTTGGGTCTGGGTGACCAAGGAGATCATCAGACAGAGTACTAGAGGAACGACAGGCTTGAAATCCAGACAGAGAGACTCTGGCCTACCCTGGTCAGGCCTTGGGGCCCAGGCAGTGAGCACAGGCTGGTGGCAAGGGCTGGGAGCCCCACAGGACAAAGCCTGGCTTTCTTGATAGGTCCTCGGTGGAATTCCACATCCCTAAGCTCCAGCAGGGGCATATCTGGACCCTGTGGGTGGATGCTTAGAGTCTCCCCCGGCAGAGTCCGTGGGCCCTGCAAGTGTGAATCCTGGGTCACCATGGAGGTAGGGGGTGGTCTGCCTTGCTCTCCCAGGCACCCCCCCTCCCTGGGTCAGCCACTGGCATCGCCCTACCACCCCAGTGTCCTGCTGGCCCTGTGCACAGCCTGCTGCTGCCTGGCCCAAGGCTGCCTCTCTGCAGTGGAACAGAAAGTAGACTAGACCCCTAATCCAACTCACAGGGTAGCTTTCGGATGCTTCATCCAGAGATGAAGACTCCATCTCCGGAAAGGGGATGCCAGCACTGACATCCTGACTGTGTCTCAATGTGAGACAGTCTAAATAAACCCGGTTCCGCTTGCTCTCCCGCCCTCACTGAAGGCAGCTAACAACATTCCACAGAGTGCCCATCCTTCCTCGCCCATCGTGTGGGTGGTGTCCGATCACCTCCACTGGCCCCTATTGCTGCACCTGACCGCCCAGAGGGCCAGCTTCCAGCTGACTCTCAAACTATCAAATCCACTGCACACAGCAGCCTTTGCTAGGGCTATTCCCCTACCCCAAATGCCTTCCTATCTCATCTCTGGGTGTTCTGCTCTTTCCCCAAGACCCAGCCCAAAGGCCACCTCCTCTGGGAAGCCCACTCACTCCTCCTTCCCCAAGCAGCCAGTCCCAGGCTCTTCTGGCCACTCCCACCCCCACTGACTTGTAATGAGGAATAAGGGATGATGCGGGACAAAGCAGGCAGGCAGTTGGGTGGGTACCAACAGACCACACCTGGAGGAGGGGAAAGCAACTGGCCCTGAGAGGAAGCCCATGCCAACCCTGCCGCAAGCAGCTGGAATGACTGCTCCCAGCAGCCCTTGGGCCACAAGGACACAACATGCTTTTATTACAAAATATCCTTTATTGATAAAATAGCTCAGACTTAAAAGAAAAAAAAAATCTGTATATCACAGCAAGGGGGCCACAGACAACAATAGCATGAGTCCCCTGGGGCACAAGCTAGAAGAGTCAGCAGAAGTCACAAGTCAGCCCCTCCCCTGGACCCACCTCCCCAACTCCGCCACAGGGCAATGTGTTGGCCTCATGCTGACACCAAGGGATGAGCTGGATAGCCCCTCTCTCCAGGAGGGGCTCTTTTTCATCTCCTCCCTTCTTCCCACCCCAGCAAACATCCTCAGTATCCCTCCCAATCTGGCCAGGTCCATCAGAGTGCCAACAGTGCCCTGCCACTCAGTCCCACCCCTAGCTAAGATTCCCACTGGCTTATGGTTGAAGACAGGCACTCCCAGGTGGAACATGGGGAAACATCCCTCGTGTGCTCCCAGTTGTCCTGGTGCCAGAGTCTGGAGTAGGGGAGAGAACCAGGAGGTAGAGGCCCCTGGAGCACCATCAGCAGGATGGAGCCACATGGCCAGGTCGGAGGTGACCAGTCAGCACCCACCAGGGGCGAGATCAGTTGTGCATCATAGGGACCCGTTTAGGGCTTGGAACTCTGCCTGGCATTGCGGTCAGGGGCTCCCTCAGGGATCCTCGGAGCCCTTGCTCACCTGCTCCACCCCTGTGTTCTGCCTGGGGGCTCTGTCACCCGCCACAGGCTCTCATGTCAGACCGTTCCCAGGGTGTGGAAACGGTCAATCTTCATGCATGATGACAAAAGACTTGCCCTCCATTGGGGGACCCAAACCACTGAAAACCCTCTTGCAGTTTCAGGTGAAATGCCAAGAAGTTGTCATGCAGCAGAATAACTCAAGTCCCTGTGGGCACCAAACACGTTATCAGAGAAACCCTTTAACTAAAACCGTGGCTCCATTGGCCACTCCCCGCTTCCAGTGTGGGCAGGAATTTGCGCACCCCAGGCAAAGGAAAAAAGTCTACAGGAAGACAGGTGGTGGTAAACACAGAGAAAGGGGATTTTTATATCACCAAAGAAACACATTTTCTGGTTCTCTAGTGCGTTCCCCCATGGAGCTCAAAGCTTTCTGCAATGCCTTTCATCTCCCTGAAACAAGTAGGTGGCAAGCTATTGTTACCCCAGATTTTGCAGGGGGTGAATGCTAGTGATCAAGGATGTCCCGTTGAGGCAGAGGCCAGGCCTCCGGAGCCCCCCACCGAGATACCCATGTGCCCACCTGCCACGCAGAGGGGTGCCAGGTGGGAAACAGTCCACAGTCTAGCCTTTAAAGGAGCTAAGGATCCAAAAGCAGGTTTCTCCAGAAAGGGGAAGAGGGGCCAAGAGATGGTACCAGGGCTGCAAACCCCAGCCCAGTGCTTAATGGGGACCACAAGCAACTAGGGTGGATGCATGGCCATCCTTTCTGCTTCCTGAGCAGCAGGTCCTCCTAGGGAGACTGGAAGGCTGGCTTCCTGCTCTTTACAGAGAGATGAGGAAAAATTTTAAAAAAACACCACAAGCAAATGGCCTGCCAGAGAACACAGGGTCCTTAAGGAAGGGAAGCTCACTCATCAGCTTGCAGGGGTCCAGAGTTCCAGGAAGGAGGTGCTCTACCCCAGCCTGGCCTTGGCCATGCTCAAGAAGACCTGAGCCTCCTCCACCTGCCCGCATTCAGGCAGGGTGTGGAGAAGATGTCCCCCAGCAGCTAAGCCAGCAAGGGGTGGCTTCAGCTGGAAGCCTGTGAACATGCCCCTGCCTCTGCCTCTCCCAGGGGGCTCCCAAGGTGAGGCCTCCAAGACCAGAAAGCCCCAGGGAGGTGGCCATATTAACAAGGGCAGAAACCACCTGGCACCAACTCCACAAGGCAGGCGGCTCACCAGGCCGTCTGGGTCCACTGGCGGCAAAGGATCCTTCGGAATGCACGGCGGAAGTCCTGGTTGAAGATGGTGTAGATGACGGGGTTCAGCGAGCTGTTGCAATAACCAATCCAGAAGAAGAACTGGAAAAGGCCATGGGGCACCTTGCAGTGCTGCGGGCAGATGGCACCGAGGCTGTAGCTGAAGAAGAAAGGGAACCAGCAGAGAACAAAGACGCCAATGACCACTGCCAACACAAAGGTAAACCGCTTCTCCCGGGTCAGCTGAGCCCGCCGACGCCACCACTGCCCACCTGCAGTGCCCATGCCCCTGCCCAGGAGCACCTGGCCACGCAGGGTGGCCAGCACCCTGGAGCCCTGTGGCTGCTGCAGGGGTGGGCTGCAGGCTGAGGCAGGGGACGCTGGCAGGGCCTGAGGCTCACACTCATCCTCCTCCTCCCCAACCTCCTCCTCCAGAGACACCCCACAAACTGCTTCCTTCGGACTCTGGCCTGCATGGGGAAGGGCAGGCCAGCTGGGTGGCAGGGCGGGGCTCCCAGGATCTTCCGTCTCCCCCTGCTCCTTCTCCCCAGTGGGCTTGGAGTGTCTGCTGGCCTCTCCAGAGGCAGCCAAACAAGAGGCCAGGGTTGATGGTCCCCCAGGGACCCTGTGAGGCTGCTTAGACTCATTGTCCCTGAGGCCCCCCTTGGCCCTGGGACCTCTGCGGTGGCTACGCTTGGCGATCAGGTAGATGCGCAGGTAGACTAGGATCATGATGAGGCAGGGCGCAAAGAAGGACCCAATGCTGGAGGCCAGGATGTACCAGGCCTCTTGGTTGAGCTTGCATTGCGGGCGTCCGCGGGGCTGGGGGCCCTGGTCTCCCTTATAGACGAGGGGTGGCAGCGAGATGACAGCCGCAATGAGCCACACGGTGAGGATGATGCACTTGATGCGACGTGGGGTGCGCTTGGAGTTGTACTCCAGTGCGCGACTCACCGCCCAGTAGCGGTCCAGGCTGATGGCACACAGGTGCACGATAGACGAGGTACAGAAGAGCACGTCGAGCGCCAGGTACACCTCGCACCACGTGCGCCGGAAATACCAGTAGCCCAGCAGCTCGTTGGCCAGCGAGAAAGGGATGATGAGCGTGGCCACCAGGATGTCGGCGGCGGCCAACGACACCAGGAACAGGTTCTGCGGGGCGCGTAGCGAGCGGCTTGTCAACACGGCCAGGATGACAAGCGCGTTGCCGAAGATGGTGAAGAGGATGAGGAAGGTGATGACCGCAGCGATGGCCGCGGTGGCCTGCACGGAGTAGGGCTCCTGGTGGTCCATGGCGGGGCCGGGAGAGACCAGAAGGGGCGCTTCTCTCCCAGGGCGAGCACAACCGGTGACAGCTCTGTCCCTTCCAGCGCGGCTAGATGAGGGAGCCGCCTCCCAAGCGGCGCTGAGGGTGCTGGAGCTCTATGGCCAAGCCGAACTGGACCCAGGAGGTGAGGGTTCGCCAGAGGCCAGTCACTGCCCTCCTACATCCTCTTCCACCAGCGCCCGGCGTCCCTGCTGTTCGCCCCAGAGAAGTTTTCCAAGTTGTCCCGCTGCCGTCCCCGCCCCTCCCCGGACCGGGGAAAGTTGCGCCCTCCCGCCCCGAAGCTGCTGGACGCGCCCGAGGGCGCGGGGTCGCGTGGGCCGAGAGGGACGCGCCGCCCGTTTTCGGAAGAGGCGCGGAGGCCGCGGCTCCCGCTCGCTTGCTCCGGCCGGGAGCCGCTCCCGCAGGCAGCCCGCGGCGGCAGGCATGGGGAGC